CGCGGTTCAACGTAGAGTACGGAGTTTGGGTGACGGACGAGGCGCATTATATTGACTGGTCTAGCTTGAATCCCTATTAGTTGACAAAGGGAGTCCAACTGTTTCCTGTCGTCTAGTAGCTTATATTTTATGGACTTCCCCCCGGATTCAGTCACATTAGAGCATATAACAAACATAGATTTAGAGTATTGTTTCATGTTCTTTTTGGAGGGACCAGTGGCTGCTTTCTCCGGTTGTACAGCTGATGGAGTCTTGAGTCCCGTGTTGGTATTAGTACGATTAACTCGTTTGGCAGCGGGCGAGGTTACGATGGAGGTGTCTCTGTCATATGGGTAGCAACAACGGAAGCGTATGTTGTCGGCCCTTTGACAGTGTCCGATGTGGCGGTTGGTTCTGATGAAGAATGTGTGCCGAACGCATCTTTATGAGCAGCTGCCAGTATCGGGGTGGCTAACTCTGGATCGTTAGTATTATTTTCGGCCCGGCTACACTGTGTTGGATTGCAGCTTGATGTTGAGCATCGAGTTTGAGACACTGATTTGTCTGGTTCCTGTGGGACAGCTTTCACGGATGCTGCTTGCTCCACAATCTTTGTCAGCCTATCGCACTTCTGTGGCAACACAATTATACCTCTGACAAGCGGAAAAGACGTACACTCTGTGCAGATTCAGAGGGAACCAGTCGTACTAGCAAGTTTTTATCTGGCTGAGACTAAGGCGAGCACAGTTCAGATGCAAATGTTTTTGACAGTTTCTGCATTAAGTCCCAAATCGCACAAGTTTAACACAGCTGTCTGCGTCACAATTAGCGTTTATTTCGGAAACTTTAGGCTTACCTTTCCGTAGGCAAATAGTACATGCCATTGTGACTGTCAGTGCTGCGGACGTCGTTCGTTGCAACCTCGACACTAGTAGGCTGAATCTAAACACTGTCGGTCAAGCTGGTGGTCGAGCAGACACAGGTTAGATTGCTGTAGAACAAATCCGAGATGGCAGACACAGTCAGAAGCTGGGCCAAACAGTTAGATCTCTAAAATTACCCGGAGATAATCTACCAACTTTGTACAGATGGAAACATGCACCAAAAGAAACGTTTTGGTGCAGAATTCAATCAGTGAAAACACTTAAAACAGTAACCTCGAAGCAAAAGTATAATGCAACACGGTTAGGCAAACATCCGTGGCGTCCGTGGGTACAGCCAATCGTAACAGAAGTCCGGATGAAGATTAGTTGGTGATTCCAAACTGTCTCGAAATTTGTAAAAGCAATCAAGCTGGAAACTGTTGCAGCAAAGTTCCCAAGACCATGTAAAAAAGGCAGGTTGAGACTACAAAAGTCGCAGACAAAATTAAACTGTTAGTGGTCTAACGAGGGAAATAGCGGACCACAGCCACATTGTCTGCGCGTATACAAAGCTATTACGTCGGGGAACTGAGTCTCACTGGGTTACCATCAGTCATTCAATCAAACTAACGTTGCCGCTGCGGTGATATTTGCTGCCTCGTCAAATAAGGAAGGTAAAACTGAACCTTCGCCTGCGAAATTTAATGCACGCGGCTTGGGAATCCCGGAAAGACAAGGCTGCTGTTCGGCACACTTGTTGGTGTTCAGTAGCTCTTCAGTCAAGTGAAGCCGCGACTAATTTCCTTCAAGATGGTTAATAACTGTTGGCGTGCACCTTTGGGGAATCGCTACGAATGATTGGTCACCAAACAAGGGAAGCAAAATAGGATATACATGCAGCGAAATACAAACAGTTGAAAGTTCACGGAGAATTCATCACCGCGTCGGTAATGGAAAAGATGCGAAATTAAAGTGAAGGGCTACTCTAATCTCGACGCTTAATATACGCTAATACACATCTGGGTTAATGAAACTTGAGCGTAAGTAATCTTGTAGACGACGCTCAAATGTGCTGACCGTCAAATTTCTGAATAACCCGGTAGGCTTTTGGAAACCATTCAATGTGAAAACAACAGCTACTTCATTGTCTCGTATCTCGGACACTAACTTAGTTGGAAGCGTCTCTTATAACAGGTGGTCATTGCTAATTTAGTATGCCTTGTGCATAAAAGTAGTGAATGTAAGTGCTCAGGAACGCGACTATATTTCGCCGTTGATGTTTGTTTCTCTCTGTGTTGGTGAAGCCTGATTGCTTGATTGAGCAGTTTCTGCGTTCGCTTGTTTGTTTATTTTGTGGGTCGTTGGTTGTTCTGCACTAAGATTTTCCAACATGATCGCAACTCCTGTACTTCGACAGGCGCAGAACACAGGTACATTATGAATGTTGTTAAATCCCTGCCTAGCTTCACTTTACACATGAGAAGTGCACCAAATATGTACTTATGGAATTTCAGCCTAATGGACGTTTCACGTTCACTTTCTCATCCAACGAATCACAATATGCGAAAAGTTCGCTCGACAACTATTATTCCCCTATATTTGTCCAAACGGACAAAGTTTCCGTTTTTATACTACTGAAATGCGTCTGAAACAAACAGTCCTGGCCTTTGGAGAGTTGTCGAATTTTACCTAGCAACTGAATAGATAGCACTAACGAAACAACCCGCGTGCTCACTGTTTTCACCCGTAAAACCCGGGTGCCGTCTCTAGGCGTCCAAACGATTCAACATTTCTTGCACATCTGCGTGCCTTTCAATGTTAATGACGGATAATGTAAACAACTCCTCGGCACGTGGTAGCCCCCGTATAAACTAAGTGTGGTCCACATATTTCTTGGTTAGATAAGGGCACCCAGTTACAGCAGGCCACGCTATGCAGTGCGCACAAGATCTACCGTGGTTCGAATGTGCAATGGTATGTCTTGCGATAGATATGCAGTTGAATCGACATGTGCCCAGTGAAACGGCGCAATTGAACCAGAAGAATCTCAGAGAAACACATTTATGGACGCTACGTTTGGTCCATCATAGATTGGGACGAGTTAAATGTTGATTAACTACGGATGGTTGACGTGGTGAATAACCTGTTTCTTTATGCAGTAGGTCATTCAGCATACTTTCTTTATCAAGACAGCACTGAGCCTTCAGCCACCCAGTTAATAACACGAATGGTTTCAAAAGAAAGCCATATTGTTTTTTGGTAATTTTCTACACTAAAATATACGAGGACGCTCCTAAGAGTTAGCCAGATGAGAGTCGAAAAAATGCATCGTTCCACTGACCACTTGCTATGTTGCCGAGGTGGGGAATAGAACATAGCATTACACAGGTGTTATCACACTGGCCAAATTTGGCACGCACACTGAACCGGTTGTTCAGTGTCAATTTCCTAACAATCATGTTTACATAGATGGAATCACTTGAGAGATTTGACTGATCAAGTCACATTATCTTAATGCATTTAGTGAGAAAGTGCAAAAGTGGAAACAGACCCGTAAATGTGATGTGATCAGTTGCGGCTGTGTTATAACGTGCAACTTATTATTTTGTTTGAAATGTGCAGAACAAGCGGTGGAAGAGAGCGCGCACTTAAACAACCACAATTCGCAGAACATCACCGGCACAGCCACAGTGACAGTACACTTAGCTCAGTTAACTCAAAAGCACGTTCCCCTTTGGTACACTAAGAAAGTATATTTCGCATTTCCCCCATTTGAAAGCAACCTATGCTCAGATTTATGCCCTAAAAGCATCGGTTTTAGCTACCAGCCGATCCATTCTGTTAGGTTAATGCGCTATAAAAGACGAGCTTCCAGCATCAGAGGCGAATAGCTTTCACTGTTTCCCAAGTTAGTCTTGAGCTCTGTGCTCATGTGAACCGTTTCACAGACACAGTGTGTGCACAAACAAAAACAGTTAGTATATGAACAAAATGCACTGGCCAATCGTTTTGCTGCTCACCGGCTGTAATTGGACACCGACTTGTCCCGAACCACAAATCGGCGGCATGAATAAAGCCAAGGGCCGGAAACACTGGGTGATTGGGGTAATGAACAATTGTTGGCTTGCCTCCCCACAGCCAGCATGAATAATATTTTTGGTATAATATACCCCATATCTGTAGGCTGTGTGGTTGCTCTTCTGAATTTAAGTTCACGGAGTCCCTTTGATCACCACTGCTTAACTGATGGAAAATTAGCGCATCAAGCACTATCCCCGTATCTAGTCTACTTGGCTCAGTGCCAAGCTACCTTCTACTTTCATTCTCAGCATTCGCGTGTACTACCCATCCCTCAATATGAGTGATCACCACTTGATTATGATCGGTCGTTGGTATTGTGCTTAACAATCACTTGCGTTCACAGATATGCCTACAGCCAAGGAATCCGCAGAATGTATATACAAATATCTACACTTAGTATCAGCTCGGAACGATGTATGTTCTGTATGGATGATCAAGTTATTTAGATACATCACGCTGTAACGCTAATACTCCGTCGGCATAGTTCCTAAGTACGGGTAATCAGAAGCACGTTATGACTACCGATCGGTCGTGTTTGTTTCTAACGTGTCGGTAATTTTTCGCAACAATCAATGGGTTGTGGGGGGTCGGTAACATTGCCAGTTAGCGGAATATTCATGTTCAGCAGAAGTTGACTGATATCGTAATACAGTTCTAAAATGTTCGCTTCACTTAGGAGACCACATTTTAGTAAGCATGCAGCAACATGCACTCACTCTGTTCCGACTTTTAACATTCAGTAAAGATTTGACAGTACTTCCACGTAAATTCCTTCTATATGCCACTCCAAGTTCAGCGAATCATGCATGTTAGACGCGTCAGTCAACAAACCTGTTCTGGTTTACTTGATCAGACTCCACGCATTATTTTGTAAGGCAAATGAACAAAGAAGCAACAGACTTTTGTATGCATTTTATCACCACACAATATGTCATTGGCGGAAGTCTTTGGTTCACAGCTTATCGTGACTTGTGTAGCACCGGCCCAGAATGATCAGTTAATGCACACGAACACATGCCTCATGCTTAAACACCAGTCCATGCTGTTTTCGTAGCAATCTATACAAGGGAAGCTTACTACTCCAGTTTCGAAATGACTCATGGCACGGCGATCCCGAGCCCTAGAAGCCCGTTGCATGTCGTCCAAGTCTTCCAAAAAGTTGTTGGCCAACCGCTGCGCATGTCTTGAGGCACTGTCCATATCTGCACCGTGGACTTCAATTGTGAGAAATCCGAGCATAATTTTGCAAAGAGTGCATCACAAAATAGGTGGAGATCAAATGAAGAAAAGGAAAACTTTTCCTTATTAGAATTTGTGTTGTAGGAGAGATCGATACACAAAGTATGTCGGAATTGGCAACTGTTCGTTGTCAGAGGAAGCGACTGTTACTCATTGTACACGCGTTCACTTCGCTACAACTATGGCAACAAGGTCCAGCTGTATGGGTTTCAAATGTTCGCGTAGCATTCTCTTTATTGTGATTGGTTGAAAATGAGGCAGCATATGATTGGCAGATTCCACACCGGTCCAGTTAACACAAATCCGCAAACAAATTAGTGCGCCCTTGAGAAAGACATCCCACATGAAAATGCGTTTACTATAGTTGGTTGCGCTTCTAAACAGAAAGCGGGTTTTTCCTGTTTACAAATAAAACGATCAGGAAATCGCTGGCGCATGAAACGTTTGATTGAGTTACTCGCTGCATGGTTGAAGTGCATCTCACAACTGGGTCCGCTTTTTACGCTGGGTTTATTCAAGAAAACCAGTACCGTTATGAATACTCTAGTTCGAAATTAGGATATTTTGCAATTTCACTTCATACGTCAGAGTCAACTTACGAAGTGTTAAGATTTAGAGGGAGTAGCCTGTATGCCAAAATAAAGTGTACTTGCTTCGAATAGCTTGACCCACCAGCTCTGAGTGATTGTGATCAATCGCTAAACGACTGTGCCTATTAGTTAAAAGAAAACGTACCTAAATGCGGTCATCTTAAATTCCAGCAATGGGCTTTTGGTTTACGGTCCACTCGAGATGGCTGTGCAATAACAAATATTTTTGAAAGTTGCTTATTGGCCCAACCAATACCGATGTTCTGGAGTTGGCAGCTGGTTAACCGCTCTCAGGTGGCACGCGAGATGGACTGTTTGTCCACTTTGTAAACAGGGTTAAGTAAACCAGACTTGATAGGCAAAAATCCACCAGTTGTCTATTCTCTGTTACTGGGTTTGCAGTTATTTTCCCAACTGCTGATTAAGATCGTTTTTTTCGGATTCGGTAAAGCAGTAGTAACTGCACCAAAGTACTTTTCGGAAGGTGTCCTGATACCGACACCAGGCAGCCCCAGTACAGCAAAATGCCAGCAGATGCCTAGCACCTGGTCATTAAAGCCCTATAGCATTTGACCATTTCATCTGCGAAAGGCCTTAGATCGTGTGCCACACAAACCATTGCTGTCCGTCTTGCACTCTTCCGGAATCAGCAACCCATTGGTAAGCTGGTTCGTTTCATACTTGGAAGATCAGATACAAAATCTTAAAATCGGCCCGCACCTCTCCTATTCAAATGAAGTCACATATGTTGTCGTGCAAGGAAGTCTGCTTGAACCACTACTCTTCCTGATGTACATAAACACCATATGTGAATGTATGAAATACGGACGAGCATACCTCTGCGGATGACATTAAATTCGTTTACTCATTTCCACCGGAGAGTCTCGAATTGAGCCTTATGAATATACAAGGAGACAAAGCTGCGCTGGATCCGTGGAGTAAGACGATTCAAGAAATTTTTCGCAGCAAAATTGCAAGTGTTTGGGTATGGATGATGCGTACCTAGTGGCTCCATCGCCCTTGCTAGTCTAAACAATCAAAACTCCTCTCCAGTAAAAGATCTTGGTGCAAAATACTCCACCTCCTTCCAATTTTCTGAGCATCGTACCAGATAGCAAAGGCAAGGCAAGCAAAAGGCTACATCAGTAAGTCATTTGTTCTACCCGGAACACGATTAGTAAGATATAAGCCCATTGTGAGACTTATGCTAGAGTACTGCACAATATCCACAGTCACTTGCGAAGGACAGATCGAATAGCTCATGAGAATATCCAGCGGTCATTCATGAAAGTGCTCACTGAACGATCTACTGTTATGAGCTATGACGATCTTTATCGCCACCTTCAATTAGACCCCCAGTGGATACGCCAACTGAGAAAAATTTCGCTTTTTTATGATATACATTGCCGGGCATACACTACCAGAATAACCCATACCTTCCATAATTCATTTACCTAGCCAACAAGAAACGTGGGTTACACAAAACCCACATAAAAGCAAGTACTAAAAATCTGTTCCAACTTACACTGGTAAGGTATGATCATTTATGGAACAAGCTGCCATTAAAAGTACGGGTAAGTGAGAATACAGTCAGATTTAAAGTGAATTTGAAGGCTTACTCACTATGCCGAGTGAGATGAAAATATTCGTTTTTAAGTGCCTACAGATGTGTTAATTGCATCTGGCCAAAACAATATATGACAGCTTTAGCCCCATCCCAGCACAAGTTCATTTCTCCTCGGGAACGCCAATATTGAAGCAACACTTGCAGGCAAAAAGAACCATGCATCTCTTACTTCTTAACACTTTCGTTTGCTTTCACTATTCTGCTCGGCAAGGCCAAGCTGACAAGTAGTAACTTGCAGTTGGTTATGAAAGGAAAAGTTAACTAATTAATAACTCGAAACCCGTTTTTGTTAATTTCTGTAAAATGTTGTCACACAAACTAATGTGATGGTATCCTGCACTGTCTTGAGACAATCTATTCGTCTAATTATACTTTATTATTTCTATCGCGTTATTCTTTACTTATTTTTTTCTCATATTTGTTGTTTTTTCTTTGTTGGTCACGACTGGGCCGTTCTTCTGATTTGATAGAATGAAAGTCTAAAGAGAATTTCTAATGCCTACCTGGTTTCAGTCGCAGACGATCTTGTCTCGCCAAGTTGATGCTTACTCGGGACTCGCCGACCAGGGTGACTGATGAAGGAGTCCCCACAGATGTGATTTACGTATGTATGTATTCTCAACAGGCTATTAACTAAACACAGAGCCAGTATAAAACCTTGGAGATCAACAGATAGCCAAGATTCATCGCGTCATAATCATCGTGGCATGCTAGTTGAAGTTGAGCAACACACTTCAACTAATATGCCGCAGGAAGAATGGAACATTTCGATAAAAAGTAGAACAAAACATTTTTAGGTGGTTTTTCACACGCCGCTTTTGTTCTTTTTTGTCATTTTAATGTTTTAGTATTAATCTTGTGAATCAACACAATACTGTACACAAGTCTTCCATTGATTCCGGTTGCGGGCCATATCTTCAAGAGTGCTAAGCCATTGGCACTCCTCATCTTTGGGTCCCCATCCTGGAAGACGTACGGATCCAACAGCAGGTAGACACGACATCAGCAATTTCATGTGCTGCTGCCTAGTGGAAGGCTGCCCACCACGCGGTCACCTCCAGCCAGGTCCTTGACGAGCGAATAGAGCGCGACGCGGTAGACGCTCAGGTACCATGCGAAGGACATGACCGAGCCATCTCAACTGGCGCAACAAAACCGGTTTGTTGAAGGGAATACTCGCATTCCCCAAGATGCGACGTCGAACGTCATTACTATTTACTCGATGTTGCCACCAAACACGAGCGATCCTCCTAAAGCAACTGTTATCGAACGCAGAAAGACGCCCCATGTCTTCCACGCGAATCGGCCAGGACTCGCACCCATACAACAATATTGAGCGAACTGATGCGCTGTAGACGCGGCCCTTTAGTGTGAATGAGATGTCGCGACGACGTTACAAGTGCCTCAAATTGACAAATGCTGATCGAGCTTTAGCGATACGAAGAGAAACTTCTTTGTTGATAGTGCCATCAGCAGAAACACAGCTCCCAAGGTAGACGAGACTATCTACCTGTTCAAGTTGTGCACCTTCCAGAGTGAGTACGGGAGCAGCTGAAAGCCAATCCTTGCGTAGTATTTTACACTTCGATGGGGCAAAGCTCATGCCATACTTAGATGATTCAACCGCTAAACGATCCTGAATGAGTTGCATACTCTGAGGATCGTCACCAAGTAAGGCGATATCATCAGCATAATCTAAGTCGGTCGCGCGCTCACCCGGTAGAAGCTCTAAGCCAAAATGTTGGAAACCTTCTAGAGCATTCGACAGAACGTCTTCGATTGCGAAGTTGAAGAGGAATGGGGACATAGGGCAACCCTGTCGCACACCGCTATTGAGGGTGAATTGCGAGGAAAGCTTGCCATAGACCCTCACTCTGCCGGATGTATGAAGGTAAAGTGCTCGTAAGATGGCGGTATATTTCTCTGGCACCCCGTTCTTTAGTAAGCAACGCCATAAAGCAGGTCGATCAACGGAGTCTAAAGCATTCGATAGTGTCAATCACTTCGTTCTCCTCCACAAGCTTGCTGACTACGTTAGCAACGGTTTCCTGCTCATCTGGTTGGAAGACTACTTACACGACGGAGCAATCAAGGTAAGAGTAGCCGACACTCACACTGCAAGCCTGTGCGTCTCCAGTTATGTACCACATGGATCCGTCCTTGGCCCGCTACTGCTTTTAGCCTACATTAGTGACCTTCCAGCAGACATTCTATCCCCAATGAAATATTTGCAGACGATGCTAAAATATGGAGAGCAATTCGTTCAGCATCCGACCGTGCCTACCTCCAGGAAGATCTGACTCGGATTAACGAATGGGCAGAAGCGAACCAGCTCCCACTGAATCCTGCAAAGTGCCACCTGGTGACGGTGCACAGCAGCTTCGTCAACACATACCTTTTGGGGCAACAAGTCCTGCAACACGTGACTAGTGAATGCGACTTAGGTATAATCGTGCAAGAGAGTCTTGGAAATTCGCTCCAATGTTCGAAAGCAGCAAGCGTGGCTAACTTGAACTTGAGACTTTTGAGGCGAACTCTCGGCACATTTGAGCGACGGCTAGTACCATTGCTGACTAACTCATACATTTGTCCTCACATTGAATATGCAATTCAGGCCTGGTGTCCATGATTAAAACAAGATATTCGCCTATTGGAACAACCCCAAAGAAGAGCCACAAAGGCAACGCGTGGACTATCCGGTCTCAGTTGGGAACTGCGTCTTGGTGCACTCGGTGTATTCTCCATAGAATACCGACGGCTTCGCTGTGATTTCATTCTCAAATACCGGATACGAACTGAGCGCGAGCATCCAAGTACATCACTGCTGACCAAAGCCTCTTGCAAACAATGCCGAGGCAACCACCTGAAACTAATGAAGCAACGCACCCGTTGAATCATAGAAAAGTATTTTTACTCAGTTAGAATCTGTTCGCAATCGAATGCACCATCAACACATGTGGTGAAAGCAA